CAGCCCACGTTGCACTGAAGAATGAAGAAATCAGGGGCTGGGAAGCAGGGAAGGGCCATAGCAGGACAACTGCTGCCCATGCCCGTACCCCTGGCATCCCCCTGCTTCGCTGTCATCCTCCTGCCCCTGTCCCCCACTCACCGCACAGGAAATTTCACCGTTCCTCTCGAAGACGCAGAAGCCGTTGATGTCGCAGGGGTTGGAGGTGGGAGTGCTGCAGGACTTCTGCAGGATGCAGCCGGACGTTTGATTCCCCACAAAGCCTGACTTGCAGGGACCACACTTGTAGGAGCCCTGGGAGAGAGAGAGGGGGCAGAGGCAGGATTAGGGGAGCAGAGCGGCCCCCAGGCAGCGGGCAGGGGGTCAGGGCAGCTCTGCTCACCAGTGTGTTGGTGCAGATGGAGTTGGGGTCGCAGCCCCCGTTGTTCCCATCGTTGCACTCATCGATATCCGTGCAAACCTGTGAGCAGCACCAGAGAAACCGTCACCCAGAGCCTTTCCCTGCCTGCAGCTCTGCCCAGGAAAGCTGCCCTCCTTCAGTGGGCACAGCATCCTCCACCCATCCCTGCAGCTCGGAGTGCCCATGGGTACCCGGCCGAGTCCTGTGGCACACTACTCACCTGCTTACTGGCCTTGGCATAGTCCACCCCCACACCGGAGACGGTGTTGCCCCGATAGCCGCGGGGACAGGGCTCGCAGCGGAAGCCAGGGGCTGTGTTGATGCACTTGGAGCCGGGGAAGCAGGGGTTGGCATGAGCGCACTGCAGCACGGGGAGAGAGAAAGGCTTCAGCCCGGGGCATGGCATCCCGCATGTCGGGGTGGCCACCGAGGGCGTCCTGATGGGGCCTTTCCCAGTCTGAGGATGCATCCGGAGAGGGGAAGCATCGTCTGCCCCCACTGCTCCGGCAGCACTGGGGCTCAGACGTCGTCCTCTGAGCATGCCCACCTCATCGATGTCGGCGCAGTGCGTGCCGTTGCCCTCCAGCCCTGGCGGGCAGGGCCCGCAACGGTACCCGGGGTACTCGTACGTCTCCATGCAGTCCACGCCGCTGAAGCAGGGGTTGGGGTTGCAGCGGGACCGGTGCTCGTGGAAGCCTGAGAAAAGGAGGGCCAGGCAGGGGGTGAGAGGGGGCGGCCCTCAGCCCACTGAGGTGGGAGCAGAGCCTCGCCAGCACTCACCGCAGACCTGGCACTCCATGATGGTGTTGCGGATCAGAGACATCTCCTTCACCTGCGAGGCGGCAGAGCACGGAGCATCAGGGGGATGCAGGCACCCTGCTTCCGGGCAAACCCAGCCCGGGGACAGCCGATACCGCCCCACCGCCTCACCTGGTCCCTAATGTCTTCTCGCAGCTCGGTCAGGACCCGATTGAAGAGGGTCAGCTGTGTGACCAGTGCCTTGGTCTGCTCGCCTGCCGGGAGCAGAGAGGACATGGTCAGCACTGGCACAGACACAGCCTCCCAGGGCCATGGGCTGAGGACTGCTCTGCTCCCTGGCACTGAACTGGGAGGATGAGACAGCTGACAGCCCTTCCTCCTCCTCCTCCCTGGTCCACACAGGACCCCTTCTCCTGTAGCACATCCCATGCCCCCAGATCCATCCCATCCTGGGGCGCTGCAGATACGTGGGGCACTGGGAGAGGCTGCGGAGGGTGCTCTGCCTCTGCAGAGCTCCGAACGCTGCCATCGCCCTCGCGCCGGGGAAAGGGGGAAGCAGAGCAGGGACTCACCCAGGATGGAGGCCAGCACGCTTGTCACTGCAAGGGGAGAGACGAGACGTTAGTGACCGCTGCCACCAGCGTCACCTCACCCGGTTGCTCCCGCTCAGCACGTGCACAGCGCAGGAGCCCCCACCCACGTGAGGATGCTGGACCAGGAGAGGCAGGAGCAACCCCTCTGTGTGACGTGCTGTCACCTCCCACCTCCACGTGCCACAGCACGTAGCACCCACAGGTGACCCCGTAAGCCCTCGGCACCGGCCCTGCGGGGCATGGGGCATGGATGTGCCACCACCTGCGCTGTGAATGGACTCGTCTCCTTGGAAAGGGCACTCGCTCAGGGCTCCAACGCGGCTCATGGACCCTCCCAGGATCAGCTTCATCGACTCCACAAACCCCTGATGTACAAGGGGAGATGCAGTCAGCCATGGGGGGCTCTGTCTGTCCCCGAGGGTGGGTGTTACGGGGTGTCTCAGCCCCCGCCAGGGGGTCCCAGTCCTTACCTGCATCCTCTGGTAGGCCTTCTGCCCTGTGCGCACCTCGATGGACTCCACCTCTGCCAGGGGGATCTCCGACAGCTCAGGCAGCCCCACGCTGGAGTCTACCTGCTTGCAGTCGACGTAGAGCTCCACGCTGAGCATGTCCCCGCGCAGCCCGCTCAGGCGCACGATGACGGTGTGGCTCTGCCCGTCCGCCACGTG